TGAGTGAGATCATGTGGTATTTATCTTTCTCTGACTGGCTTATTTCACTTAGCATAATGCTCTCCAGTTCCATCCATGCTGTTGCAAAAGGCAAGAGTTCCTTCTTTTTTACCGCAGCATAGTATTCCATTGTGTAGATGTACCAGTTTTCTAATCCACTCATCTGCTGATGGGCACTTAGGCTGTAAAACAATACTTTTAAAAAAATTAAAATTTAGACATGACCTTTGGTCCAAATTAAGGTTTTAACATAGTGAAAGCTTCTCATTGAAGCCTCCATATAAAACTCATAGGCACCATTCCCTAAAAGTCTATTAATAGTGCACAAATATTTAATTGGCAAATATGAAGCCTTTTGCTATGCTCCCTAATTTGTGTTAACTCCCCTTTATGGTTCCACTTTGCTTATTAAACACCCTATTTATATAAATCCCAAGATTTGGGGAAAATGAATTCCTGCTACAGGAAGTCATTGCTCTGTCTCACCCAAGCTGCCGTCAACTTTCTTACTGGTATCCCTGCTTCCATGCCTGTCTAACTATTGTGTGTGAGGTTCAGAGCACATGAAGTTAAACCTACTGGGTTTCAATTCTGTGATCTAGCTGCACTGGAGACCTTGAGTGAGGTATTTATTTCATTACCTCAGTTTCCCTGTGTAAGATGAAGATATTTCTATACTACATATGGTTGTTCTGAGGATTATTGACATGAAATTCCATCAACAGCCCGGCTGGTGTGGTTCAGTGGTTAAGTGTCAACCCATGAAACAGCAGATCACAGTTCAGTTCTGTCAGGGCACATGTCTGGGTTGTAGGCTCGACCCCCAGTAGGGGGCATGCAGGGGGCAGCTCATCAATGATTCTCTCATCATTGATGTTTCTGTCTCCCTCTCTGAAATACATCAAAACATAGTTTTAAAAAATGTTTTTAAAAAGTTCCAGAGACAAATAGTGTGCTGTTGTCTGCTAAACAGTCTTAACACAGCAACCTGGGTAACTCTCTTGAGTAACCTCTAAGTAGCTTCACACTTAAAAACCTCAATTCCCATCTAAGGCCTCTAAGCCTGCTTCTCCGATTTCTGCTCCCATTGCTCTGTTTACTCCATTCCAGCTGCAGTAGCCTGTTCCAGAGATACGAAGTTCTACTTCAAGGGCTTTGCACTTGTAAGCCCTCTTCCTGGAACACTTGCCCTGCAGATTTTTTCATTGCTTACTCACTAGGGTAGTTGCTCAAATATTCAGAGGCCTTTTCCATCTAAACTAGCACATCCCCAACACACATATCTTTATTCTCTAGTCTCTTGCCCCATTTTATTGTTTTCCTTTTTTATTTTATTTTAAAGAAAGGGAGAGAAACATTGATGTGAGAACCACCAATTGGTTGCCTCCTGTACACATCCGACTAGCAATCAAATTCACAACCTGGGTGTGTGCCCTCACCAGGAATTGAACCTGCCACCTTTTGATGTATAAGAAGATGCTCCAACACAGCCACACTAGCCACGACCCATTTTATTTCTCTTCATAGCACTTACCACTGCTGACGTATCATTCATTGCCTTTCTCTAACAGGAATGTAAACTGGCATTAGTAGTGCTTAGCACATATTTGCTGGGAGACTGGATAGATGCTGGGTTAAACAATTTTTCTTTTCCTAAGGACTATTGACCCGAACCATGCATTTTTTACCCACGGTATCCACCTAACATTTCCAACTCCCATATTGTCACTTAACCTAGGTTTTCTCATCAGGCTACCACTTTACTGATACACTTCGGGCTTTTAGAACTTAACATCAACATCAGATTCTTATTTGCAAAGTAAACGATAAGCAAGCACAACAAAAATGTTGAGTTTTCAAAGGAAGTGTTAGCTACTATGTATAAATTGAATTTATCTATACTTAGCCAGATGTTTTGAACATTGTTTTTAATATATCTATAAAGAGATATGGAGATTTCAGATCAGATCATGAATAGGCAGTACTTTATTAAAGCATACTTAATTACAATTGTGTTTTTTTTTCTCTTTTGCAGATTAATGACCAGAGAGAGTGAGATCAGATTTGTTCACAAGGAGATGGGCATAATACCAAGCTGGGGCGGGGCTACCCGACTGGCTGACATTATCGGCAGTAAACAGGCTCTCAAAGTGTTAAGTGGGGCCCTCAAACTGGATTCAAAACTAGCTTTAAACCTAGGAATGGTCGATGAGGTCTTGCAGTCTTCAGATGAAACTGAGTGTCTAAAAGAGGCACAAGAATGGCTGAATCAGTTTATCAAAGGGCCACCGGAAGTAATCAGAGCTTTGAAAAAAACTGTTTCTTCAGGCAAAGAGCTTTGTTTCCAGGAGGCGTTACAGACCGAAAGAGATCTTGTAGGAACACTTTGGGGTGGACCGGCAAATTTGGAGGCTATTGCTAGGAGAGGAAAATTTTGTAAATAGTTGCTTTTAAATAGGTGTACTACAACTCCAATTTAATGTGTAGAAAAGTTAAATATTAAACATGTCAGTTACTTTGAAGGGTATCACTAGTATTTGGGTTTGTTTTTAATCATTTTTTGAATACCTAAACTCATTGGCAGGGCTTTCAGTATACTGTAGTCCCCCTTACCTGCAGGAAATAGGTTCCTTGACCCCCAGTGGATGCCTGAGACTGGATAGTACTGAATCCTGTGATGCTTACATACCTGTGATAAAATTTAATTTATAAATTAGGCACAGTAACTAATAAGCAGTAATAATATAATAAGTTATGTGAATGTGGTCTCTTTTTCAAAATATTTTATTGTACAATACTCACCTTTGCACTATGTGAAGCACTTCATTGCCTGTCTTTGGCATATCCAAATTGCCAGCATCACTGTTCTGGCACTTTGGGGCCATTATTAAGTAAAATAAGGTTTTCTTGAACACCAGCACTGGGATCCTGTGATTCTGATAACTGAGATGGCTACTAAGTGACCAACAGGCAGGTGGAGTATACAATGCAGATATGCTGGACAAAAGGATTCAAATTGGGCAGGATGATCAGGACAGTGTGAGATTTCATCGCACCAACAACAGCATGCAATTTAAAATGTATGGTTTATTTCTGGAATTTTCCATTTAATATTTTCAGGCTGTAGTTAACTGGATAGCTGAAAACTCAGAATGTGAAAGCACAGATGGGGGAGGAAACTACTGTATTTGGGTATTTACCAAGTAAACCTGCATACTTTTGGCTTAAAAATTACCACCAATTTCCCAGTTCCCTTAATGGTTCTTAGCCTATAACCAAAGACCAGTTTTTAAAGGAAAAACTACACAAAACCTATTCATGGTGTTATTTTTCGTAAGTCTTTGTTCTGTCTTACCTGGAAATAATTTACAAAAATAAAATACTTAGTGAAATTTGTGTGCCCTGGAATTTACTTGTTTATGTCATAAAATTTAACTTTAGATCAAAACTGCCTAAGACTTCAAAGGACTCAGAAGCATTTTGTAACCTACATTTGCGTTTTACATCAGATTTCTATTTTTTTTTCTGGAAAAGTAGCCTTTCTTCTTTTATAACTAAATTTAATAAAAGTACACAACTCAAAAGTCATGATTATCTCATTAGCAGACTTTAAAAAACATATTAAATCGAAGTAGTCCCAATTCTAACATTGTAAGAGGTAAAAGATTATTTCAAAGTAGTGATAGTTTTTATTTGCTATTTGTAAAATTCAATTCACATTTTAAAATTATTTAAAATAACTTACACATGCTTCATCAACATGATCCTACTGTGTTGAGCTAGGAAAATGTAGTAAGATAAACTTACATTACCTTTTTTTGCAGAACCAAACTCTGGATTACCAAGTGAACCCAGTATTTCCTACCTTGTCACAGGTTCTACAACATTTTGTGTAAAAGTAGTTTGTGTCTACCAATACTGGTAAGCCTATCATTTAATTCAGATGAGTATCAGACCACTAATGAAGACTGGCAAGAAAAATCTAAAATACGTATGGTCTCTACTACCAGTTATTGAAGAAATTTGTCTCACAGGCTTTAGGTCTATTTCCATATGTATTTATTCCATGCACATTCCCTGCAAGTATTGTTTAAATACTCTCTATGAAAAAAAAAAATCAGACTTTTCTGAGCAGGTGACTCATTTAAGCTGAATACCAGTAACTGAAACCACGTTTTGCTAGACCTTTGGTTACAAATGTCAAAATGTTAACATCCCCTTTCCAGACTCAAGCAAGAGACAAGTGATTTTTGATAAATTCTAGTATTTATTAAATTATAAATTTTGTAACCAAAAAGAAAACGATCAAGAGAAACTTCAAACTACAAGGACTAGACAGCAAAGTCTATGGGAACGCCGTGAATATGTTACAGACAAGATTATGAAACATAAATTAGGTGTTTTCTTTACATTTCCATTTCAGTAACTTTACTATTAAATAGTTTTTGTCTATTTTAAAACCCCAAATTCACATGTATTCTCACATTAATTAAGCTTCCTGTTAAAACTGATACGACATCTCATAGGTGCCAAATTTTAGTAATGGCTTTATGTCAATCCATGCAGGAAAAGTAAGACAAAATGCAAAAGTCAGATGGGACCATTAATGCACCGATAATACATACACGCCGGCCAAAAGAACGTAATTTTTTAAAACTATAAAATAAACAGACTTCAAGAAAACTGGGTTATTACTAAACAGCTTTCAACTATTAACACCCAAGTTCCTTAAATAAATTTCTCAACAGAGACATGTTAGACTGGACATTTTAATTATAGGTCTATCCTTCCCATACCCTTCCCACCCCAACTCCCAAAAATGTACTACTAGGGATGAGTATAATGTTATGTGGGCAGAAATTTACAGATAACCATTTTAACCTTGAGCATGGTGCTGAAGACTTTTATTTAAACTTCAGTTACTGTGCACTGTCCATCAGGCCTTCTAGATCTGACACTGGCACTCACTGTTCCACCCCCTGCTAGTGATCCATCAGTTATTGATCGATCCGATCGATCAGATACTGTCTGGTTTGCATTAGGGACCAAAAGTCTCTGTTGGGTCAAGGAGTGTTGTGCAACAAGCGCTGACACATCCTCACTATCACTACTGGCATCTGATTCAGTTTCTTCAATGGAGGTGTCTGGTGCCGGTACCCTGCCTGAGGATGGTAATTCACGATCTTCTTCTCCTTCCCCCCTATGACTCCTTTCAGCCAGGCTGTCTCCACCGAGTTGTAAATGAGCAAAAGAGTCTTCCAGAGAAGTGCTTGCATCAGGGGATGGTGTCACAGGGCTCGTTAACTGACCGCCAGAGCACTTTTTACCTTTGGAAAAAGCATCTTCCAGCTCCCTACTCGTGCGTTCATCATACTGCCACCACCCGTTTCTTCCTTCATAATACCACGCGTATTCACCATTTCCTCTACTTGCTGCCTTGAGTTCTTCTGGTGACAATAAGGTTGGCTTGTCAAGGAAATCCTCGGGAATTTCTTGTCGACAGAGGGCACATCGCTTTCCAAGCCATGAAGCTCCCTTTACACACAGATAGCAGAAAACATGCTTACAAGGCAGACTGACTGGGTGAACACATGTTTGCAGACAAATGGCACATTCAGGGACAGTTAGAGAAGGTGCAGTATTAGCACAGGACTCATTCGCTTTCCTGTTTGTAGGAAGCATGTTTACTGAGTGATCAATTTCACCACAGCCAGCCATCCTAAGAAAACGAAAGAAAATACATATATTAAAATCAGGTTTTAACTCTTAAATCAACAATTCAGAAAAAACTTATTAAACGCCTATTATATGCAAACCACATACTAGACAATGAATAGGGATACGAAAGTGAAAATACAGGAGAAAACTGTAACTTGTATAGAAAAACCTTTTTGGTTTGTATGCCATTGATTTTTACTTGAGCGTGCGGGGCAGGGGAATAAGGCATACAAATGTTAAGTCAAAAGTAAAAAAAATACAAGTAAGGTATAGAATGGTTTAAAATAAATATACCATTTCTATTCAGTCATAGACCTTGTAAGATAGAACTACGTGCAGAGATTTTAAAATGCACAGTCCACTCTACACTGACAATCAGTCTGGAAAGCAGAGGAACTAAATGGCTGAAAGTAATTCAGATGATGATCACAGAAAGTGACGGTTTTGTAACCTTTCAGTTACTGAGTGTCAATTTTGCAAACAGTACCATATGACAATATACTTTTGGTACTTGACAAGTATACCATCTGAAATTAAGAAAAGCTGAAA